GCCACCCAGACCCTAAGTAATCATACAGAAACTGTATTAATTAAAACACTGCTTGACCAACCACTTAGGACTACTGCTAGCTAGCTCTTATATCTTAAATTAACCCATCACCATAAGGTTGTGGCCTACCGTAGGTAAGTTTCCAGCAGGCTCCTGCAGGCATCTTTCTCCTTGGGAAGCTACGTGGCATCTCTTTGACTCCACTTATTCTCTCTGTGCATCTCTGTTTGGATTTTCTGCTGGCTTTATTCTGTTAAGCTATTGGCCGAGAGCAGCTTCTTTATTAACCAATGGCAATAAAACATATTAACAGCAGGCAGAGGGAAATCCCACATCAGTATGCAGCTCTGGATTTTGGCTTCTGTTCACACTGCCATCCATGCAACACACATCTAGTCATGTACTGTCTTCAGGCATGATCATCCATCTGGTGCGGGAGAACTGTCTGTATTCTGTCAATCATGTTTTAAATAAACGCTGATTGGCCAGGCAGGAAGTATAGGCAGGTCAACCAGACAGAAAGTAGAGGTGAAGCAAAGAGAACAGGATTATTCTGGGAAGCAGGAAGCTCCTCCACCAGTCCAGCCCAGTCCACCGAGAAGCAACATGTGAGTTGCCCCTCTGAGAAAGGTACTGAGCCATGTGGCTAGCATAGATAAGAACATTCGGTTAATATAAACTACAAGAGCTAATAAGAAGACTGAGCTAATGGGACAATCAGTTTATAACTTATGGAGATCTCTGTGTGATTTGCTTTGGAACTTGCCAGCTGTGGGGTCCCAGGTGGGACAGAAACCCCAACAAGCCGGCCTTCATGTTACATCCATCTATGTCCATGCTTGGTGAGATATCCATGTCCCTCTGCAGTCTTAGGTGGGAGGGCGCTTGCTGTTGCCTTCAGCATCCTATTCTCGGCTTTCACGCCATGTCAGACTCAACGTTCCAACACACTCCCAAGCACCTTCCCTCTCCCTCCTATGACGCTCTCAAATTTTCTAGGGAATGAACCACTTCAGGGGCTGCCCTGACCCTTTGTCTCTTTTCTCTGACCTTCACCCTGCAGGACAATGGAGCACTCTAGCAAGGGTGGCATCTCTCAATGCAGATCTCCAACTTATCCGCGTGTCGTGATGTTCTGTGGGCATCAGAGCCCTGCCGGCATCAACCATTCATTCCATTCATGCCCGCTGGATGCTAGGAAAAGCACATGCCATTAATTCCGTGTTTCCTACTCTACATTCTCAAATACTACGTATGGTGTTTTTACTTTCTACTGCCGTTGATCTTGGAAATGACACAGGGCAAAATAAGGTGGGAGAAAAGCTAGATTTGTTTTCTTGATCCTACTAGAAAAGGGGAGTTAGGGCGTCACATCAACTGGACCTGGGATGCAGAATCTGCCGTCTGTACCATTTCAGCACTCAGCACTCTGTCTCCCATACAGGACAGTGGCAGAGATTTCAGAGTCGGTGTAAACCATGGAAAACAGGAACAGTGGGGTGTGAAAAGAACAGTCAGGCATGTTAATGTGGGTTTGTAATCCCAGCACTGGGAAGGTAAAGACAGGCAGATCTCTGGAACTTGTTGACCAGTCTAGCCCAGTCTTATGTCAGTAAGACCCAAAGCTTGGCAGAATAAAGGAACAAAAGCAGAGGCTGCCTTCTGGCCTCCACATGTACTTGTGTATGCCTGCACACTCATATACACATGCACGCGTGCACACACGTGCGCACACACACACACACACACACACAGTAAGAGCATCCAAAGAGAGCTTAAAGATAAATGATAAAGGCCAATGCTATGTTTTCATTAAGAACAATGGAAGATGAGTGCGTCTCTCAGCCCTCATTCAAGAAGCTTCTCCTTGCAGCAGACAGCAATTGACACAGAACCTCACTATGGTTGATGTGCACAGAACAGGAGCCTGTGGACTGGTGAGCCTTAAACGGCAGGTATTCACCTCACCCCTCCTATCAAAGTTCAGATAGCTTTGGCAAAGCAGGATGGAACTGAGAGATTGCAAGAGCCCGAGGCAATGATAACTTAAGAAAACCATTTTTCTATACACAACATGGCAGTTGCATGTATGAACTCACAGTGATGGTTACAGCATGTATGAGAACTGTACCACCTCATGCCAGACAGGATCCCAGCAGGGAGAAGGGAAGTGGACATAAAATCCCACCTAAGGAGCTATTGGCAATTGATAGCTACAGAGCAGAGAATGGGTATCCTTTAAGGATGTGATCCCTAAGAGCTCGACCATGCTCTAGGGCAGGTTCCATTCCCAAGAGGAGTTGGGCAACATGAGCTAGATCAGACTGAGGAAGAAAACTCGAAGTTGGGAGGATGAAGAGGAGAGGGTGGAGGGGTGGCTATGGGAGCAGTTGGGAGAGGAATGTGAATACGATCAAAACACATAGTATGAAATTCTCAAAGAATAAAAGCATTATTTTAAAAAGAACAATGGCCCCCAGATTTAATATAAACATGAAATATCCTGTGTGGAAGGTATTTGATGTATTTTTATTACACTAAATATTAAGAAGTTGAATTTTACATAAGCAAACTGCCCTAAGTCTTGAATAGCCCATCCATGAGGATGAGAATTTTGGAAGGGTTTACTGCCATGGTGAGTGGTCCGTGGCTTCTACTAAGATCAGTTCCGGCCTGGAGAAGTGGTTCAGTGTTGAAAACGCTTGCTATACAAGTAACAGGATGGGAGTTTGGAACTGCAGAGCCCCATAAATACTAGGTGGCCTACTTGTAATTCTAGCCTTGGAAGGTACACACAGGGTGATGGGGAGCTCCAGAGCAAGAGCAAGCTGGTTCATGAGAGCATCCCGATCAATGAGCTCTGGGTTTGATTGGCGGGTCCTGCCTTAAAGAAAAAAAGTGAAAGAGCAACCGAGGTAGATTCCTGGCGTCAGCCTTGGGCCTCCACACACAGGTGCATCTGTGCCCACGTACGTATGTGCACCCACCACACACAAACAGAAGGAGAGGCGGGGGGAGGGGGATGAGGACATGGAGGTGTCTGGTTCCTGCCAGGCTGCTATGGGAGGAGCAGCAATTCCCTTGAGAGATTCAGCCCACAGCCAACTCCTATCTGGCCGCATAGTGATTAAGTACCATTGGAGAGAACCAGTGTTCAGTTCATGGAAGTTTGCAGATGAAATTGGTGGTGTCCATTAAGGCATTCTGAGTGTGCACCCCCTGAAGCTTCTTCAGGCACACGCCATTTGCTGTGTTATCACCGAATTGCTCACTGCTAATTTGGGTGTCCCAGCATACAGGGTGGCGTGGCAGTCTACTCTATTTCTGACTTTTTTTAAAAAACATAATTTTTAATGATTCTTTGGGAATTTCACATCATCAGCCTCAATCCTCCTCTCCCAAGTGGTAACATGGGCCACCCAGATCAGCATGGCTCCTGCAGCACTGTGGCCCTTAGACACCAACATGGACCCAGGTGGTGACTCAAACACTTGGCATCAGCCTGACTTTGAATGATATCGGGAACCACATCAACACAGGACATCAACGCAGACCCTAGTTGTGGCAGGGCCGCTGACCCAAGCATGTCCCCTAGCTGAAGCTCAGGCCCAAATATCACAGGTCACTCAAATCTGTATGGCCCTGGCTATGGCATGACCCTCACATCCCCACCTGGCCTCAGGTGACAGCCCAGATCCTAGGTATTTGCACACCCTTCAGTGGTATCAGGAGCTATGGAATTCAATCCAGACCCTGGCTGTAGTAGGGCCTGGACCCAGATATCACCATGGCCCCAGGTGGCAGTGAAGGCCAACCAGATTAGCATGGCCTTCAGACACCAACAAAGACTCAGGTGTCTGACCTGGTCATCCACATAGCCTTCAGTGCTTACTGAAGCCATGAACATCAATACAAATCCTGGCTGCTGCAGGGCTATGGGCCCAGACATGGCCCCCAATGGCAACACAAGTCACTCAGATCAACATGGCCCCAGTGGTGGCTCAGCCGTTGGATACCAAAATGGCCACAGGTGGTGGCCTAGACCACGAGTATCCCCATGGTCTAGAAGGCAACATGAGTCGCAGATGTCATCACAGATCCTGGCGGTGGTAGGACCACAGACTTAATCTTGGCTCTGGGCACAGCCCAGGCCCAGCCAGGATGTCATCCTGGTCCCAGGTGGCAACCAGACCGCCAACATCAGCCCATTCCTTACCACGCTTGCTTCTTCAGAACTGCTTCCTACCACAGCACACGAACTACTCCGCCTCTCTGCCTCTCTGCCTCTCCGCCTCTCTCTCCCATTTCTTCACCTCTCTCTACCATTTCTCCACCTTACCCTTGTTCATCACAATGGTGGGTCTGTGGATGCCTTCAGGCAGACTGGACAGGAAAGACCCAGGCTGCCCTGAGCCACACGGCAACAGGCAGAACTGCGGAGGCCTTCAGGTAGATCACGTCATGAGGACCCAGGCTGCTCCAGGGGTGTCTTTTGCCCGCCTGAGCCGCGTCCTGGCTTTTCTTTGTGAATGCTTCATTCTATCACAGGAACTTCCTGGGTCATGGTCTTGGGAAAGATGATGATGATTCCAAATTCCTGCACAGGACCGAGTGCCCCGCCATGTGTCCCACTTTTCTGTTGTTGGCCTCCACTCTTACCGCCTCCACTGCTGAGTTAGATGCGTTCTAAAGCAACAGCTAGTCTAAAGTCAGGAAGCTGCTTCTAAATTGTTCCTGCTGCCCTACTGGGTCGGTGGAGACCCCTGCACAGCTGCCTCCCCACCCTCTCATTTCTTCCACCTTTTATCCGAGACTGGAGACAGTTCGGTTGGTGAAGTGCTTGTCATGCAAGCGTGAGGACCCGAGTTCAAATCCCAAGCACCCAGGCAAAAAGCTGAGCATAGCTACCAAATCTATGGAGGTGAAGATAGGGGGATCCTTGAGACTTACTGTTCACTCCACACAGCCTAATCAGTCAGCAAGCATGCAGGCAAGACACTCATACACATAAAAACAAATGTTTAAAAATACTGGCGATGGTGCACACAACAAAGGAATTTCGTCGCCTTTGAGGGGCTGTGCGGTGCCCCCCAGAGTGAATCAGGAGGTTCCACAGCCCTGGAAAAATAAAAAATAAATAAATAAATAAATAAATAAATAAATAAAATTAAAAAATAAAAATACTGGCGAGTATTCTTTCTATAGTGGACTCAACTTTATTATAATTTTAATATTGCCCTTGACTTCATGCTGTAAGGGTAGGTAGGTTACAGTCATTCTGTGTGCATTCTTCCCGGTATCTGAGAGAAGTGGTCTCTGAATGTCTGAGAATCCCAAAGTCCACAGATACTCAAGCCTCTTGTGTAAATGCACACATTATCTGCATGGAGCCTACACATAACCTCTGTACACCTTATTTTTATAGTAAAAAGCAAACCTGCCTTTATTCACACTGCACAGTGACTTTAGAAGTCTGTGAGGGATCTACAGAAGAACAAAGGTGTATTTACAAAAGTCAAAGAATAAAAGATCAGTTAAAAATTCTACATTTCCATGTGCTAGCAGAGAATTATTCAAAATTAAAAAGGCCAAAAAAAATCAAATTCATTAACAATTACATTGAAAACAAAGAGTACTTGAGGACAGATTTAGTCAAGTATGGGTGAAATTGAGAAAATAAAACTAGAAAATACCTACTAAAATTAAAGAAAAGCCAAAGTAATAGAGAATTTCCCCAGGTTTACGAGATGGATAAGTCTGTACTATTAAAATGCCGTCTTCCTTCAGTCGAGCTAATCGCTGCAACGTGATTCGTCAGCGATCTAGCAGAAGTTCTGCAGAGGCCACCAGGCTAGCTTCAGTGCTACGTGAAAACACATGGAGGTGCCATCGGGAAAATATTTTTAATGCAAGCAAAATTAGACAACTTTACATAACCGTGTGATTAATGGACTGTGTGTGTGTGTGTGTGTGTGTGTGTGTGTGTGTGTGTGTGTGGACATTTTTGTTCTTAGTAATTGGATTTTAAATGTTGATACCATGCTTGTCTTGTTACTAAAGCTCTATGGTATAATTTGAGATGAAACATTTCTCTGAATGTGTTCAATTCTCTGGACTGTTTATAATACTTGAAAACAATGTAATGTGACTATGTTCTCACACTAGCTTCTTTACGAAACAATGACCAGAAGATAGTCTACCCATTTAGCACCAACGGATTTCTAAAGACTTTATTTGAGTGGTTGGGTCCACAGATGTAGATTCCACGAACGCAGAGGGCCCACTGTGGTAGTCTTTTTCACGTGACACTACCAGCACAGCGCTTGCTACCCTTGCGCAGAACTCTCAGGTTTGTCTTCATGCCTCTTTCTTCTCCGCTATTCTCCTGCCCCGTGATAGTAGTGGCAGTCGGGGGAGGTTGCCGCCAGAGGACTTCCCCAGGTGGTAGAGAGTGAGGGGGCTGCGTAGACAAGTTACCCAGGCACTGCCTGTGACTGAGGGTGAGGAACACAGCGAAAGGGTGGATGGTGAGCCTGCAGCCACTGTTGGGCTCCACAGACAGGGCTTTTCACTTTGAGCACCACTATTGAAAGTCTCAGCAACTGGGGCCAGCCAGGTAGCTAGGGAGGTAAAGCACTGGCTGCCGAGCCTGGGAAGCTGAGTGTCATCCCCAGGCAGCACATAAACCAACTTCTGTAAGTTGTCCTCTGACCTCCACACATGCGCCATGGTACACACCTGACACTTCCTAAACACGCCAAATAAAGGTAACATAAGAACATTTTACATGTTAACAATTGGAGGAAAAAGTAGATGGATTTCCAAGGGCAAGCCAAGCAAAGCGTTGCTGATCCTATGTGAGAGTTCAGCTGCCCACTGTGAAGATTACTGGACTGTTCTGAGGCTCACCACTGAAAGCTCCTGAATGCAGATGGACTGTAATTCTCTCCCCCCTTTCTCTCTTGCCCCGTGAGAGTGCCAGGATCCTGGGCATGGGCTTGCCAAGTAGGGTTTTAAGATAAAGTGGTTTCATGTTTGTATACCGTAACTCACTTGATCTTCTTATGCATGTTCAATTAGTTTCAGCTCTCCTGGAAAACATGATTCCTTCCCCGGGCAAACCCCTCAAGGAGCAGTGAGAACTCTATGGGAAGGTTAACAGAGAAAGACTAGATCTTTGTACCACCCCCTCACAACACCGAAGTCCATACCCTTAGTAACAACCCTCAGTAAGCTCCACCTCCAGTTGTGGAAAAGGCCAGGGTCTCACACTTAAGTTTGCAAAGCCAGGGAAAGCAAGCCAGATTGCTTATATCAACTTTCCAGATCGAAAGAGATGCATGGGACTGGAGAGATGGTTCAGTGGTTAAGAGCATTGGCTGTTCTTCCAGAGGTGCTGACTTCAATTCCCAGCAACCACATGGTTCACAACTATCTATGATGGGATCTGATGCCCTCTTCTGGCATGCAGACATACATGCAAATGGAGCATTCATACACATAAAAGTCTTTTTTAAAAAATAAATAAATAAATAAGGAAGAAAGAGAAAGAAAAGAGAAAGAAATAGGCATGTGAAGGAAATCATACGTCTGCATTTTCTGACTCATGGAGGAGGCTCCACCCTGCCTGATGATGGGCATCTGGTGGCATTTCCTGAGGAATGGAGGTGAATCAGGACTGATATCTGCCCATAGCAATGGTATCTAGTCAGTATAGGTCACCACAGCTGTCCCAGGATACACTACTTACCTCCTGGAGGTAATGAGGTAATTACGCAGAGGTAATGAGTCCTCTGCGACCACTGGGAACCACACCCCTTCCTCAGTATAAAGCATTAACATGAGGTTAATCTGACCAGTAACCCATGACATACCATGTACACAGTTCCAACATTGTATTTTAGAATTCTTTTGTGTGTGTGTGTGTGTGTGTGTGTGTGTGAGTGAGTGTTTTGCCTGCGTGTATGTATGTGCACCACTTGTGTGTCCAGTGCCCGTGAAGGTTAGAAGAGGGTGTCAGATCCTCTGGAATTGAAATTATCGGTGGTTGTGAGCCACTATGTGGGTGCTGGGAACCGAACCTAAGTCCTCCGCAATAGCAGCAAATCCTCTTAACCACCAAGCCATCTCACCAGCCTTAAGCTTCAGTATTTTTAGCAACTCCTGCTTACTGACACAGATCATTAAAGCTGTTGATCTGGTTTGTTTCAGAAGCGTGGGTTTTTAAACAGTAAATGAGTTCATTCATGAACAGACTACAGACTGGCACCTGCTTATAGTCAATGCACAGTGAACAACAGCTATTGCTATTATTTTGATGATGTTCCTTTTTTCAAAGCCAGTCTGTCATTTAAGAGGGTTTTGCCTGCATGTCTGTATGTGCACCACTGTGTGCCTGGTGATAATGGGAGCTCTTGGACCCTGCCTGCCACTGCTTTCCTGGGTGGTTGCCTTTAGCTTCATATTTGATTTCATTGCTCTTATCAGATGGATTTGCCTCGTTCAGTCACCACATCATTTCCTGGGAAGTCTGACCTCAGATTATATCGAGGCTGGCCAGACTTTGTTTCACCTGGGTTTTTCTCAATTAAAATAGTATGACCTTGGGCAAATTATTGAAACTTTTGGTCAGTACACTGCTTTCTTTGTCTGCAAGATTCTGCAAGCCAGACCTCCTTAGGGTTGCCTCCGGATTGGCTCTGTCAGGGGTCTAGTGGGGGGTGGGAGGCTTTAGTGCAAGCTCAGCAGGGACCAGGTGCTGACCTGCCCTTTGCCTGGGTGATGGCAGAGTCTAAATTCCTCTCTCTGATTTTCCGCATCCACCATCTTCTTTTGGAAAACCTCCCAGAAGTCCTCTCTGTGTCTGGCCACCCTTCTAGTTCACAATCACGTCCGTCATTTCAGCCAGTTGGGAAGGAGGGGCTTGCCAGCCTTCAGTCAGTTTCTCCTAGCCCTTTGATCCCAGCCCGGCCGTCCCATTGTCTCATTTCTTAGCCGCTTGTTCCCTTGGTCTTATCTATGTACCCACAAATCTATGTCAGAGCTGGGACTTGAACCCACGACACACCCCTTGCTTGGGAAACACAGTTGTATTCTCTAAACACAAAGACCTAGATTCTTCTCTTTTTCCTCCTCCCCCTCCTCCCTTTTCTCATTTCCCATTCTTTCCCTCTTCCCCTTCTCTCCTGTCTCCTTTCTTTCAGCATCTCCTTCCTCTCCCCCTCATTTCTACCTCTACCACTTTCCCTGCTGTGTCCCATTGTGCAGATCGCTCTGCCTGTGTCAGACACTCTCGCGCCCTGACTCCCTAGCTGGCTTGCTAAGGGTTTTGGTCCATGGTCCCATTAGCACATTAGCAAAATGAGTTTCCAGAGTAGTGCCTGCTCAGCAGGTTCTGAAACAGGGACAGAGAAGCCCAACTCAGAGACACAGCTGTTGGGGGGCTTCTTTGGTCCCAGCTTGTTCCAGGCTCCCCTGAACCTACTTAAAGTCTGTGTTTCAGAGTCTCTGGCATCTACTCATGTCCTGAGCACATATCCAGCAGAGGTTGGGCCTGTTGCACATCAAAATTGCTTTAGGAACCAGAAAGCTCAGGTGTCAAGTCTTCCTTCCCTTCAGGTAGAGTACCACCCCACCAACACCTCTGAAGGGCACAGCAGAAGCTGACTGTCCAGTGCTAGCCTCTCCTGGTACCCTCTGGGGCTGGGTCCAGTGAGAGAGGAGCTGCTCAAGAGAAGCCACCAAAGACTGGGGATGTAGCTTAGTTGATAGAATACTTGCCTAAAGTGCCATGTGTTCAACACCCAGTCTCAGATCACCCAGGCATGGTGGTGCATGCCTATAATCCCAACACTTACAAGGTGGAGGCAGGATACCAGTTCAAGTTCATTCTTGGTTGCACAGCTTGTTTGAGGTTCCAAGATCAAAGCAGTCTGGGATATATAAAACCCTACCTTTAAAATAAATCAATAAAGATGCCACTGAGGGACTGCATAGCTCAGGAGCTCCAGGATGAAGGAACATCCACGAAACAGCCGCAGTCTGCTGCTTTCTTGTTCCCTGCGGGCTTTTCTCACTCACTATTTGCTCCATGGCAGGAGACAGACACGTGTATGAAT